CGGGGGGGCTCAGGATTGGTGATGGAGAGAGAGGAGTGTGTGATGGTGGTGAGTGAGAGTGTAGTGGCGTGCTAGGGTCTTCCCCGGGGGGGGCTCAGGATTGGTGATGGAGAGAGTGGAGTGGTGGTGAGTGGTGGTGAGAGTGGCGTGCTAGGGTCTTCCCCGGGGGGGGGGGGGGCTCAGGATTGGTGATGGAGAGAGTAGAGTGGTGTGAGTGGTGGTGAGTGACGTGCTAGGGTCTTCCCCCGGGGGGGCTCGAGGATTGGTGATGGAGAGAGAGGAGGGTGAGTGAAGTGGTGAGCTGCTAGGGTCTTCCCGGGGGGCTCAGGATTGGTGATGGAGAGAGTGGAGTGGTGGTGAGTGGCGTGCTAGGGTCTTCCCCGGGGGGGGGGGGGCTCAGGATTGGTGATGGAGAGAGTAGAGTGGTGGTGAGTGTTGGTGAGTGACGTGCTAGGGTCTTCCCCCGGGGGGCTCAGGATTGAGCCCCCCCTGGGGAAGACCCTAGCACGCCACTCACCACCACTCCCCACCAATCCTGAGCCCCCGGGAGACCCTAGCACGCCACTCACCACCATTCACCACCAATCCTTGATAATAATATTACTAATGACGGCAAAGATAATTACAAAAAGAATGATAAAAAATGATAAATAAAAAATAAAAAATGATAAATAAAATAAATAAAAAATGATAAAAAAGATAAAGAATGGTAAATAACTAATAATGCTGATAAAAGTGACAATATGAAATTAATGACGATTATGTTAAAAAGATATATCCAATATGCTGTCACCATAACAGAAAAAAAGTTAGAGAAAGAGAAGGAATAACAGAGAAAAAGAGGGGAGAGAGAGAGGGTTGGGGAGGACTGAAGGGAGAGAGATAGAGGGTGAGAAATAAAGAAAAAGAGAGAGCGTGTCAATGAAGGAAGGAGAGAGAGAGAGACAAAGGGGGTGGGGTGGGGGTGAAGAGGGAGAGAAAGGAGTGTCACTTCGTTATTTGAATTTTAGTTTTCGCAGCCATTTGTCTTTTAACTCTCCACCCTCTTTTCACACACACACACACACACACACACACGCACGCACGCACGCACGCATCACACACACACACACACACACACACACACACCACACACACACACACACACACACACACACACACACACACACACACACACACACACCACGCACGCACGCACGCACAACACACAACACACACACACACACACACACACACACACACACACACACACACACACACACACACACACACACACACACACACACACACACACACACACACACACACACACACACACACACACACACAGAGGCGTAAACAGATTCAGCAAAACAAACCATACAAGAAATAATAGATAAGGATAGATAAGTAAGAGGCAGATAAGCGACCAGAAAGAAAAATGGAAATATTGATATATACAAATTTAGAGTTAAACGAATTCGTGCACAAGTGAAAATAATTAATTTTAGTCTCCGTCGGGAATCGAACCCGAGTCTGTCGCTTAAGAGGAGCCTGTCCCACCCACTAAACTACACAGACATACAATATTTGTGAAATTGTTTTACTTGATTTGCATAGTGCTTACGTAGGTTATGCTACATGTATTGGGTGAATTTATGTCTCAATTCGTGTCTTTAGGTCTTTGACACACTACATTACTAAAATGATGGGAAAGATAATTACATTCATGATAATAAACAATTGTAATTACAATAATAGTGAAAAAAATGATTATATGGTATTGGTTGTGGTGATAATAAACATGACCATAGCTAGAAATAAAAATAAATAGAAATAAAGAGAATGAGTGAGAGGAGGAAGGAAAAGGAGAAAGAGATGGGGAAGAGGGGGAGAAGGAGAGAGAGGGAGAGGAGTGTCACTGAGATATAGAAGAAAGAGAGATAGTGTGTTAGCAAGGGGAAGAAGAAGAGAGGAGGAGAAAGGAGGGTGGGGGGTGGAGAGTGAGAGAAAAGTCATTTTTCGTATGTCAACCATCAAAAGGATAATGCCATATAAACAACCAGAAAGAAGATAAAAATGCTGATGGTGTGTAAGCAAATTTAGATATTTAAAAAATCGTGCTTAAAAATCCTAACACTATGGTCTCCGTCAGGATCTGAACCCGAGTCTGTCGCTTCAAAGGAGACAGCGCTGACCACTGCATCACGGAGACAAAATATCTCTGAAATTTAGTTTGGATTATACTTGCTCTATGTAGGTTATGCTACATATGTTGTGTGAATTCATGTGTTATGTTTGTTCTCTCTCTCTCTCTCTCTCTCTCTCTCTCTCTCTCTCTCTCTCTCTCTCTCTCTCTCTCTCTCTCTTCTCTCTCTCTCTCTCTCTCTCTCTCTCTCTCTCAATGTAGTCTGCAATTTTATGATTCAGTTATTTAATAATATAGTTCTTAAATATTACATTTTACTATCTTTGGAACAATACGGTGTAATTCTTAAAATCATCCATATCTACCGTGTATATATATATATATATATATATATATATATATATATATTATATATATATATAATATATATATATTAATAGAAATTGGTAAATAAAGGACTGTCACTAAATTGGAATATTACATTTGTTCAGGATAACTCCGCATCGGTAATGGAATAGAATACTTGCCTTTCACTATTTCCTGTGGTTTCAAACGTTAATTAATTAATTGATTAAGCCGTTTCCTCCTTGCAGTTTTGCTTCGACAAGTACCAATGGCCCCCGCGCCTTCACAACTGTCCTGGTCTCCTCTCACCTTTACCAAATTCTTTTCTAAAAGTGAATTGTTCTGTGGTCCAAATGCACGAAGACAAGTCAGGTGATTGTGATGAAGATGATTTAGGATTGAACTCGTTCAAATTTGCTGCTAGTGTATAAAATATTTAATGAATTCAAGGAGAAAGACTGAGAGCGAGATTGTAGTCTATAAACTTATACAATTCAACATGTATGCATACACAGGGACACAGTAACTATGATGATATTATTATTATTATTATTATTATTATTATTATTATTATTATTATATTATTACTATACTATTATATTATATTATATTATTATTATATTATTACTGCTGCCATTAATAACCATAGCGGGAAAGAAAGAGAATGAGTGAGAGGAGGGGGAGAAGGGGGGGGGCGTTACTGAGATATAGACAGAGAATGGTAACGTTAGCAAAGGAAGAGAGAGAGAAGAGAGAGGAGAGAGAGAGAGAGAGAGAGAGAGAGAGGGGGGGGTCTACTTCATAAGATGACGCGGAGGAAATAATATGATTAGTGAAAAATAAATGATAACACATATGACTATTGAAAATATATAAATACATAACCAGAGAGAGAGAAGGAATGAGAGAGAGAGAGAGACAGAAGACAGACAGACAGACGGAATGAGAGGCAGAGAGAGAGAGACAGACAGACAGACGGAATGAGAGAGAGACAGACAGACAGACAGACGGAATGAGAGAGAGACAGACAGACAGACAGTTCTCAGTATCGTGTTACTTTACCCTATGGGACTAGGATCATGGGTACTGACGAAGACGAGCGCCAGTCACAGACCCAAATCAGGTCATGTAGGGGGGGGGGGGGGTTGTGTTATGTTGGCAGGACAAAGAAGAGGGTGGGGGGGGGTTGCGTCATGTTCGTTCATAAGTTGGAGGGGGGGTGAATTTGAATTTTTTAAGGGGGGCGGGGGTAAAAAAACGTTAAAAATGTCGTGGGTGTCCCTTTATGTAATTACTTGTATATTATATATATATATATATTATATATATATATATATTATATTATATATATATTATATATGTGTGTGTGTGTGTGTGTGTGTGTGTGTGTAAATAGATAGATATTTCTGTGCAATTGAATCGCTAGAAGCAGTAGATAAGGAACTCGAAGCCGTCTGTTGTTCTAAGAATCTTTTCGTGTTTTTTCTCACACATTTCAGAGTCTTAGTCATCAACTTGCTTATCGTATTTTCCCGGGTAAATTCTAGAACTAATAAGTTGTTAATATTACCATTATACATGAATATTATTATATGTATATACATATATGTGTGTGTTTTGTGTGTGCGTGTGTGTATACATACATATATGTATATGTATATATATATATATTATATATATATATATATATATATATATATGTATATATATATATATATATATATATATATATATAATATATATATCTGTGTGTGTGTGCTGTGCGTGTGTGTGTGTGTGTGTTGTGTGTGTGTGTGTGTGTGTGTGTGTGTGTGTTGTGTTGTGGTGTGTTGTGTGTTGTGTGTGTGTGTGTGTGTACATATATACAAGAATATATATATATATATATATATATATATAATATATTTATAATTTATATATATATATATATATATATATATATATATATATATACATATGCATATATAAATACACACATATATGTTATATCATTTATGTCTTTACCTGTCGCTTGTAAAATCAACGTTCATAAACAATGAACTAAAACTAACATCAAAGGCATAAAGATGAATCAACAGTCATTTGTAGTATATCATATATATATATATATATATATATATATATATATATATATATATATTTATTATATTATGTTATATTATATTATTATATATATATATATATAATAATATTATATATATATATATATATATTATATATATATATATAGGGTAGAATCAGAAGAGATATTCTTTTGAATGATAATTTTCATCCGTTTATTTCTTGTTTCTCCGTAATACACACTCACACTCCGTAATACAAACACACTTCCAATTATAACACGTAAGGCTGTGATTACCCACGATAAACACACAGAGGGTTCAGTTTAGAAGAACAGGCCACGTCCCGGAAATAGTGAGAACCCGGAGCATGGAGCATCAGGCAGTTCTCACCGGTTCCTCCTTGGGGTTCCTGAACAGAACTGTCTCCACGATATAGACCCCAGAAAGGTGTGCCTGAAAATAAA